GTGTTGTGTACCTCAAATGTACCAATAAAAGAATTTAATTAAAAAAACATAAAATATTCACTTTGTATTAAAAGTATTAAAAATACATGAAAATAAAAAAAGAAAAATATCATATGATTGTCTTAACATATGAATAATAATTTCTGAAAAAATTCCATAGCAATTCAAAGAACCACTCTTAACAACTGGATACTTGGTGAGAAACATTTAATAGCTGATATATACAATATGATATGGATATCCACTAACATACCTTATTAAATATTATATTCAAGATCATATGGAGGTCATCAGCTGTATAGAAATAAAAAAGTCTATAAATAATGATTATGGAACTTGTACAACTTTCATTATGACAATTTTTTACATGAGAAACAAATAAAGCAAGAAAATAGAAGAGGAAGAAAGTTTAGCAGAGCTACTTCATAGAACTAAATGATATTTCTTTATATCATTTAGCAATATCCAGATAAATATTTCAACTATAAATCACATTTTATGTTAATAGGCTGCTTTAGTCTATTCAAGCTTCTATAGCAAAATACCTTAGACTGGAAATTCCTTCGACTTATAAGTAACAGTAACTTCTTGCTCACAGTCTTGGAGCTTGGAAGTCTAAGAAAAAGGTTACTACAGTGTTTGGTTGTAACTCTTTTGCTCAAAGGTGGTGCCTTCCAGCAGTTTCTTTGTATGTTGTGGGAAGACCAAAAAACCTCCCGTTGGCCTCTTTTATAAGGACACCAATCACTTCCCCTCCCAATAACATCATTTTGGGCTTAGCCTTTCAACATATGAATTAGGGGGTTATGCAAACATTCAGATCATGACAATAATATTAAGGATTTAATGGTATGTGACATATCTTCTCAAATTATAATTTAGTCTCTGTAATTCTAATCACAATCTTGATATTGAAATTAAAAGCTTATTCCAATGTAAATGTGGAAGAGAAAAAGAAAACTAGAAAGTTCTTGGAGAAGAACAAGTGAGACAATTTGCCATTCTAGATTTTTTTTTGCAAACGTGCTACAAAGGGAGTAATAATTTAAAAAGCACATCATTAGATACATCCAAAGTACCAGTAGAGTTCAGTTGAGAGCACAGACTAACCAATACACACATAGAAGCTCATGTGTGACAGAATCACTGTTGCATGTTAGGGCAGTATACTAAGGAGTGCTAGGATAGTTATTCATGTGGGAAAAAATGAAATTAGATTCCAATCTCACACCTTTCTATCCCGCCCTTCTTCCTCCCTCTCACTATTTGTACTGGTAAATCCCGAGGAAAACAATTTTGTAAGACCTTTAGAAAAAGATGAGAATAACTTCATGACTTCATGTTTGAGGGATATTTCTAAAACATGTCAGAAAATGTGTAAACTGCACATTATATTGAAAAATTGTATGTCAAAATTATGAACTTTTATTCATCATGACATAAAATATTAAAAATGAAAAGGGAAGTAGGAAACCTGAAGAAAATATCTGCATGTGGCTTAAAAAGGATGATCCAGAGCCTAAAAAGAAACCCAAAACACCTATAGTGGCCCCTCGAGTTAGAATCAGCTTGACATACAAACAACTTGTGTTATGACCAGAATTTTAGTTTTAACTTACAAACAAAGGCTTGAGTTACAATCGTAACGCCAGCCGTTTGTGCTTCCAGATGATTTCAGATACAGATTTAACCCTTAAAGAGATCTGGAAGGAACGTTACAGCATCCTTTCCTATGTGGCTGTGTGGGGTTAATTGAGAATCCTGGATCAATGTCTAAGGATGCGGAGATCTGCTTTTATACTGGAGAGAGACTTTGAAGGCTGTATAGAAGAGCCTCAGACTTCAATTGACCACCTTGAGTTACAACCAGCCCTCCAGAACAAATTGAGTTTGTAACTCAAGGGTCCACTGTATAGGCAAAAAACAAGAATAGTTATTACACAGAAGAGGAGAGAAATAGAGATAGCTAAATAATTCATGAAAAGATCCTCAATAGTAATCATGGGAATACAAATTAAAAGCATAATAGGATAAATTCTTTTCTACATTGGATATCAATAAACAGATGCACTATCAGTGAGCCTCTTAAATAGTGCTGGTGGAACAAAAAGCTTTGGAAAACTATGTAGATATTGGAACAAAGTGATTATAATTCTGAGTTAAGCACAATGAAATACAATTTCACATCCGTTACATTTGCAAAACAAGACAACACCAAGCGTTATTAGGAATAAAAGAATAAAACTCTCATGAAGAGCTGGCAGGAGAGTAATCAAAATCCTTCTAACAACATTTTGGCATTTCTTAACTAAAGTTACACAGGTGCATATTCTATGAACAAATAATTCCTAGTCTAGAGAAACTCTTGTATATGTCTATTAAAAGTATGAATAAAAAATGAATAAAAATGCTCAATCCAGCATTGTTTATGACAATAAAAAATGGAGAACAAGTTAAAATATTTGTCCTAGGAGAACTGTTAAAAATCTGAAAGAATCTCAGATACACTATTCTGAGGAAAAAATGTAAGTCAAATAATTACTATATAAGATATTACTATTGCAATAATGAAACACATAAAAGTAAAGGATGAGGTGTATACACACAGATATATAATTTATAAAAACAAGGAAATGAGAAACAAATACATCAGATTGATCATTACCCTGGGTATCAGGATATGGGAAAGAATAATAAGAGTGTACAAGGGACTTCAATAATATTTGAGATATTCCACTTCAAAATCTGAGATTTTCCTTTCATTACCTACATGTTTTGCAAGCTATATATTCTTTATACAGTCAAGTTATCTCACAACATTAAAAATGAAGTTATAATGTAAAAACACATTTAATAAACTGAAAAAAGAATATATACATTCTTTAACTTTTAAGTTTCTATTTATACTGAATAATATTTAGAATTTCTCTGGAATTGGGCAAATTTATTCAATTTTACTTGATCTCCTAAAGAAGTATTTTATTTGTCTTTTGAAGTCATATAGTATTGTAAAATATAAGTAAAATATTCGGTGTTTGGTTGACAGGTTCACACTACAAAACACTTGGGAACTGAGATCAACAAAGTGAATACAGGTTTAACATGTCCCACACTCATTGATGTATTTATGTTCATTAGTTACTGGGAAACAAAGTTTAAACAGTACTCAAATTTTTCTTCTTTTTTTGGTTAATATTTACCATATGTAGTTAAAATTGCACAAATTAAATGTATATTTTAAAATGTCACTTTATGTTTTTCAAAATAACACTATTGAAGTACTTCTGAATGACTTTTTCAATCAAATTTAGTGAAGTTTTGATTCAGTTTACCTGCCCAGTCCCATATAGTTCAGGGGAAATACAGTAGTCATAGGCAAACAGGATGTGGGGATATAGAGAATAGATTAAGGAATGAGTGAACAGGGTAGAAAGCAGGCCAGTTTCAAGGGGAATCAAAAATGAAACTCTTTTAATCTGATCTTTCATAACATTTAAGTGTTACTGTACCATTGATTGGTAAAACTAGATACTTATAAGGGAATTCAGAAATATTAGAAACAACTTCTAAAAAGACAACAGAAACCTTGGTTTGGGAGAACATGGCCATAATCTCAGCTACTTGGGAGGTTGAGGCAGGATTATGAGAAGTTCAAACCTAGCCCAAACAATTGGGGCAACACATTTTCTCAAAACTAAAATAAAAAGGGACAGGGATATATTATTATATCATGCTTTCCCATACCCTGAGCCCCAGGGTAATTATCAATCTGACTTTTTTTTATTTCCCATTACTTTGATTTTATAGATTTTAACTGTGGGTATATAAGTAAAAAGGGCTAAGGATATTTCTCAGTAGTAAAGCACTTGTCTAGTTTATGGGAGGACCTGAGTTTGATCCCGAATATTGACCAAAAATATCTAGGAAATTGTTTATTTTTGCATCTTCTTATATAGGCCAGTTTCCAAGCTATTTCAACAAACCTACCTTTTTTTCCCAATAATACTTTGCTAAACTATTGTGTCTTCTTATTCTTTTTCCAGATGTGTTCTATTTGGGGTTTTTGCGGGTTTTGAGGGTTTTGAGGACCTAGTATATATATATATATATATATATGTGTGTGTGTGTGTCTGTGTGTGTGTGTGTAAAAATATAATGGGAAAAATAATAATATAAAAATTAACCTTAGGTAATAACTTGAATGGCAATAAAATTCTCATAATAAATACATTGTCACTAAAAAAAGAAGGTAGTCATGATTTGGTTCTTTTCCATTTCAGCTACAAAATTTTTAAAATCTGCATTAATTCTCATGATTATTAAGTTCCCATGTCTGATTGTATGCCACATAGATTTTTGTCTAACTTATAAAATATTATAAATAAAAATAGGTGGTATCATGGCAGATGATACCACTTATCTATAGATAAGTATAGGACCATAAAAGACATAAACACAAATTAGATATTGGTTTGCCAATCTATGTTTTGGTTTTACTATTTGAATAGTGATTTTGTTGCTCATAATATTGTGTAATTTGTCATATAAATTGAACCCAATGGTCTTTCTATTATTTTAAATAGCAATAGTTGTATGTTAATCAATAATTTTATATGGAATCACATTGAGCACAATACAAAACTATCTCAACCAGCATGACACATGCTTTTGGAACTGATTTTTAAGGGGATTATGTTAATATTGATAGAAGGATTGGAGCCATAAGAGAATTAGATGGCATTAATCACTCCTCTCTGCAGTCCCACGGAGCTTAGTTCTTAATTTAAGAAATTGATCCCTCCTGCTTGATTTACTACAATTTTTCTATAAGCCCATATGCTCTACCACACTGTAAATTTTTGTGATAGGATCTTCTCTTCTTCATTTTTCCATTTCCTACAACACCTATTAATAATTGTTCACATAGTGAACTGTCATATCTGAAAAGAATAAAGACTTCTCCTTTGTTTAAAATGTGCTTTTTAAATTTTTTATTTCAGAAATTTTGTAGAGCTGTATAAAAGTGAAGATGACATGGAAATGTCAAAGACGATTAAGACTCACTGGACTGCTTTGGGCTTAGAAGATGTACAGTTTGTGAATTATTCCGTGCTGCTAAATCTGCCAGGCCCTTGGCCCAGCACTGTGACGCTGATCAGCAGCGGCCAATGCTTTCATCCTAATGGCCAGCCTTGCAGTGAAAGGGCCAGAAAAGACAGCAGCCCAGACCTGCTCTACTCCTATGCAGCTTATTCTGCCAAAGGAACTCTCAAGGTAATATGACCATTTGTCTCTGTCATTTACAGTGAAATGGAATTAGGAAACAACAGCTTTCATCTAAATTGAACTAGCTGACAAGATGCAACATACAAAAGTAATCATTAAACATTCTCAATGTGAGGGCGCCGGAAAAGGGAAGGAAGCTAGAAATTGGCTGGTGCTTTTCTTGTCATATTTTGAAAGTGAAAGTAGGTTAGAAGAATTTAATCCAAAAGTGTTGAATATGTGACCGAGTCATTCACATTTTTCTCAGACCATAGAGTGCAAGTTTATTTCACTTATAGTCTTGAAGAGGCAAATTTTAATACATTGATATGGAGAGAAAGAATGGAAGTGGAGGGGATTGTGTTTTGAGAATGTGTATGCACATAAGAAATGAGGTGGAAAATTGACATGATTTAATTTAAGACACATTTAAGACTTGAAATACAGCACTTCTGCTTTCCTGATGGAAAACACATGTGTTAGGGAGCCAGGTGTAGATTCTTCCTCCACCTTTACTGGGTTGGCTCCACTTTGGCGCTGTTTTTTTGGCATAGTAGTTAAGTGCAAGGCTATTAGAGTCACATGGATTAGTTTTAAATCTCAGCTCTGCAGTTTTCCACTGTTACTTAGCCATTCAGTGCTTAGTTCCTTTATCTCGTAAGGGGAATAATAATAGGTCCAACTTTCTTAAGCTGTTATGAGAATTAAATTATCTAATATATGTTTATCTTAGAGGGCAGAGTATGGTCTATAGTAAGAATATGTAAGTTATATACAGCATTGTAATTGATCACTAGTTTCCTACTATTATAATGGTCTCATTTAATACAAATTAAATGTTATGCTTCTGACTGTTGTCATGATGTGATTCTCTGAAAATCTTAATTTTTATTAATTATGGTTAATACATAAAATATTTAAATCATTTACAGCTATTTTGCAGAAATACTCAAAATAATGTAATAGTGAATGCTTGTTCCTAATACAAGCTCTTTGTGGAGGCAACGGGGAGTGGCAGATGCAACTTTACTTGTGTTTCAGCATTGCTTCTACTCTATGGTGTATTATACTCTGCCTCTTAACAGTGCTGCAAAAACCCCAGCACAACCTTGAGAAGTTTTACCATTAAATTAATTAGAATTTAATTTAATGTTAAATGTCTGCAGTATTCCTACTGTAGAACTCATAATTTGATTTGATTAATATACATTATTTCTGGTAGGCAATAATGGAAATGAAACACACCTGCATATTAATAAAAATAGAGAGCTGCAGCCAGCAGCCTTTCCTTGGTTCAGGAGTTTTGGCATTAAGCCGAAGTTTTAAAAGTTAGGTGCGTATTTTCTCTCAGATTCCTAACCTTCATAAGCCCCATACACTTCCTGCCTTCTCTTTCGTCCAATTGGCTCAAATCCAGCAAGGTAATTTTGTCCTCTAGCAAAAGCATGTCTAAAACAGAACAAGGACAGAAACACTAACAGTTCCTTGGAACTGCCCCTACCTACTTGCTTTTCACTTTATTTTGACAAACATTGACAACTGCTTAACTAAGGTGATATGGAAAAGCCATGAATCTACAACTTGTGTCCTTAGCATGGTCCTTTGTCATAATCTGTTGGCCCATTGTACTAAAGGCAGGACAAGACTGAATAAATTCCATAATATGAATCCATATTGCTGAGAGTTTTCTACATTTTATCTTATCAGTTATACATGTTTAGTTTCTTTGATTCATATAAAAGGAAGCCAAAGTCTACTTCTTATTCAAGGAATTTTACAAATGTCCAGGAAGGTATAAGTCCTTATTGGGTACTATTCCACCATTTGTGAATGTATTAAAGCTACCATTTTTAATAAAAAGGAGTTAAAATGTTTTTTAAAAAGCTAAATTAAAAGGGATAAATTAAAGTGTAAATGAAGAAATACACTCCATCTTTCAAATATTAGGCCTATACAAAAAGGATTATTCAGGAAACTAAAATTTGATTATGGATAAAACAAACATCTTGTATTTGAAGAACATAGTTTGAGAAGTTAATCATGCAAATTAGATTAAATCATTGACAATAACTATTTTAATAATTGTAGTAATAGTGAAAATCTTTTACACTAAGTATATAAAAATTTGAATGTCTATATCTAGAAAGCATAAAACAAGTTATTGATACTGATATTTTAAAACTCAAAGTATAATAGGATTATTTTCCAAATCAAGAAGTTTCTAGGTTGACTATTGTATATGCGTACAGAACACTGGTGTATATTTTAAATACATGTTTTAGAGAGCTATTGGGATTCACATATTATAATTAATAAGGCATCAGTAATTTTTCTGTGTTTCTGCAGACCTTTCCCTAATTCAAATCAAGCTTGAGTGGTGCTGCTGATGATCTGGGCACACCTTCTTTCTGATTTTGAGTACATTCTGTTTTCATGAATTTCTATCAGGCAGAGCCATTAACAAGTTCTTAAATTATTCCATTCTGACTGCCAGCAGAGCTCACTGTAACTTTTGCTTTTGACAACGTTATTTGTAGAAGGGGAGTGCCCCTTTTCTTTGGAGAGCTGTCATGTCCATTCATCATAGGACCGTTTTGTATAAGCTTCCAATTTGTGCTTTCTGGTAACAGTCTAAATAGCATTTGTGGTATCTGAGATCTACTTCAAAAGCCTACTTAGTGCCAGCATGATGGATGGTGTACTTTACAACTTCTTTGTAATTCATCGTGCACTAGAAAGGTGACATTGTTTACCCCATCATAATGACAGGTGGGTCAGTAAAAGGGTCCAAAGGAGAGTTGTCCTGTCAGATGCAAAATACATATTAAAATGGATGCATAAATAATTTAGCATGAATGAGGTTAGCGTCAGGGAATAACCAGTAATACATATTTTTATAAGAAGGTAAGTACTATAAAATCATCATAAGGTTAAAGACATTGGTAGAGAGGGCTGACAATTTCTGGTCAATTTTATAAACAGTACATATGGCATTTATGTAATTCCTGTGCAATTATTCTTTAGTCCCTTGTGAAACCAAGTCAGATGTGGAAAAGCAAAGCACAGAATTAATATTTAATATACATTGGTTACATTGGTTTCTATTATGTTCTACTGTTTTAGGCAGGGGAGTTTTTCATGTTCTCATACATTATGGGGACATTGGATATTTCCCTTCTGTGAAACATTGCTTTTTGTCTAAAAGACAAGTCAGATTATGCAATTCTACGGAGAAACTTATTTTCAACAACTCATTAACTATGGATACATACATTGTTAATAACAAATTTATCACTACCCTGTTCTGTAGACAGAAGAGTTCAAGAGCCTTCCTTATCTGCTGAACAAATGTCAACTGATCACCTCTCATCTGTATAAAGGAAATAATAATAGTCACATAAAAGGTTATTGTAGGGAAGAAATGATAAAAATCATACAAAGTGTCTGGGACCTAGAGAGTACTCAATGAAGGTTAGAAATTGTTATTTCATACAAAGTAGGCACATTTAAATTGAATCAATGAAGAAAATATCGAAATTGCATATCTAGATTTGGAAGTACAAACTTTCATCATATTTGTAATGCTGTCTAAATATAATCTTCCCATCATCTGTTTAATGTGACAAATATTAATTGTTAGGTAAAAACTCTTTAATAAATTTGAATAAATAAGACAGTATACATAATACTCACATTATATTTTTAATTAAACTGTAGGCTCAAAGACATTAGACAAGAAATGTTTTATTCTTGAAGCAGAAGGATAAATCATGTCAAGTTGAACTTAAAGAGCAACTCTTGTCTTAATGTATAAAATATCAAGACAATAATTAAACATATGAAATCTGAACACTTTATCAAATATCTTGTCAGAAAGTCTTAAAGAGAAAAGAAAATATTACCACTGCAAGTAAGTCTGGGATAATTTATAATCTGATGTCTATTTTCTCATAATTAGGAAAATGTTAACTTTCTCTTTTATTTATTATTATTTTCTATTATTTTCAAACAAAAGTGCACTTACCCATGTTAAGACAAAAAGCAGAGCTGTATGCATTTTTCTCTGAATGATTCCTGTTACAGACAAAAATATCAGAAAGCTAGGGAAGTAGAGTGAAATTTTATTATTTAAATTTTTAGTGTCTAAGTTTGAAGATGAAGCTTCTATCTCATCAAGAGAGAAATGTGAGCTCGAATCAGTTTTTCAGTAGTGTAAATGACTTGGCATTTTGTCTTTCTCCTTTCTTTTTCTCTTCTGGCATCCTGTTTTTGTTTTGTTTTGTTTTGTTTTTCTTTTTGGCAACAGAGTACAAGTAAGAGATGAAAGTTGTAGCTGTATATCAATGCTATTTTAAAAATTTGTGTACAGTCCCTTTGTCCAAATGATGTTCTGTTTCTGGTCTCATGAGCTCTGTTCACTAATTCAATCAAATTAACAAAAACAATTCCTTCCATAATTGCAACTTTTTTACTTGATGATAATAGCATGTGCTTAGTTTCCACATATTTAGGTTATATTTTCTGTTTTAAAATTCATAAATAAATATTCACATAGAAAGAAGTAATCTCATGAAACATTATCCCTAGTTGAATACTGGCTAGAGAGGTTATATCTTCTGCCTGGGAAAGATAACAAGAGCCTAACAATAAAAATTTTGAAGAAAAAGTAGATGAATTTAACTAAGTGGGTAAAATGTAATGGTCTTACTTGGTTAGAACAAATGTGGCATTTTTAGTGAAAAATGATTCAAAATAGACTTTTTAATTTGACTAAATTTATTTCTAAAGATTCTGAGTTACCATAATTTTATTTGACAGAAAAATCTAGTGTTTTTATCTGATTCAATATACAGTATATGGTTAGAATGTTAACTGATAATCAAACTTCCTTAGCAAATTTAACTTACGTTCAGATTTTATAAAATGCTAGTACTTAAATATAATCATTTACAAATGAGATTTACCTCTTTTCAGTACATTTTGCAAATTCGTTTCAGAACTGGAGAGTT